CGGCCGGCTCTGTTCCGCTTGGGTACACTGTCCTCTTGCGGGGTTTTCTTTTTGTTTATCTACCTGGTGGGGGGATCTGCCTTCGTTCTTGCCCCTTGTGTCCCTTGTGTTCTGAGTATTTTCTGGTGGTACCCCCTGCTAGGTCCCCGTGAGTGTACACGTCCCGGGGGTTCAGCTCTTAGAAAGTTGTTTGGTAGCTTTGGGTGCCGGTTAGCAGTACCCTGCCTGGGATTACCTGAGCGCGAGTCCTCTTATAGTAAACGCTCGGGACCCTGGGAAACCCCTGGGGGCGCGCGGGTCCGATGGATGTGACCCCAGAGTCCCCCCTCGCTTCCAGCGAGTTTGAGGGTTGCTCTCACCCTTTGTCTCTGGGTGACACTCTGTTTTGCCTCCGTCTGCTGCCTGTGGGGTCGGTGACACCTTCGACCCAGAGTCCTGCGAGTTTGGTTGCTCGTTGTGGCTCGGTTACCCAGTTGTGCTGACAAAGCGGGTGCGGGCAGCAGGGGCGTTGCACTTGAGCCATGGTGATGGCAACATTCTCGTGGTTTCCTCCCCAGGAGCCCCGGGGCTGCCCCGTTGTAGTTCGTTTTGGGACTTGGGGGTGTTGGTTGCTTCGGTTCCATCCACGCCCCCTTGTCTTTCCCCTGGATCACCCTTCCTGCCTGCATCCGGTTCCTTACCGTCTGTAGGTTCGGGGCGGGGTTTTTTGATGGTGTTGAGACTCGGGCAGTCTCGGGGAATTCCCCTTCCGGGATAGTGACGGGGGCATTTGAGCCTGTTCCTCCAGCCGTGTTGTATGAGTCTGCCAGTGGGCTCCCTTCCTTAGTGTTTTCACAGCTGCCCCGGTTTTCTGGTACGGCCGGGGCTTTGGGGGAACGGCTCGGCCCCTGGGCCTGTCGGGTAGGTTCCCGGGGCTGGGGAGGGGCTGACTTGGGGGGCCTTCGCCCCGTTGGACCCCGTGGGGTTTTTTTTATCCCCCTCTAGGCGGGACTTGTGGTTACGCGGAGTGGGGTCTTTCCTCCCCACTCGCCGTACGTGCTGTTGGGCGTCGGCCCCTCCCCGGGCTCGGTTCCTTGGCCTTTGAGTCGATTAGTTCCGTCCTGTGGGTGGATGTTTCCTCCCACCCTTTTTTGGGACGGTGTTTTCGTCATGTTTCCCCGTTCGATGGGGTTCTACGTTACTTCTGATCTCGGGTGCGCCTGCGCCTTCGTGTGCCTTCGGGACTAGTGTTTGCTTCTGTGTTCTCGTGGGTTCGGGAAGGTTTTTCGCTACTTCCCGCATTATTGGAACGTCTGTCGGCTCCTCGTCCTTGTCACCGTTTTGGGCTACTTGTCGCCCTGTTGGGCTGCTTGTCGCTCTGTTGGGCTGCTTGTCGCCCTGTTGGGCTACTTGTCGCCCTGTTGGGCTACTTGTCGCCCTGTTGGGCTACTTGTCGCCCTGTTGGGCTACTTGTCGCCCTGTTGGGCTACTTGTCGCCCTGTTGGGCTACTTGTCGCCCTGTTGGGCTACTTGTCGCCCGGTTGGGTTCCTTTTTGGGCTCTTTGCTTCTTTGGCCGGTTTTATTGTTCCTGCTTCCTCTTTTAGTTACTTTTCTCGTGAGGTAGTCCTGGCTGGCTCCTTCCCGCAGAGAGGGTGTGCGGTTTGGCCAGTGTGTTATGCGCCGTGGAGTTTGTTTTGGTCTGGGCGGTGTTTCAGTGCTGGTGTTTTGCGCCCTTTTTGCTACAGTGCTTCGCCTCTCGTTCTTCTCCCTGGCTGCGGTATGTGCCCCTTCGCGCCGGGGGTGTCCTGGTTCCCAGTTGTGGGGAGGACACCGAGGTTTTCCCTGTGTCATGGGGTGTGGACCGCCTTCTTCGCCTCTCCCTGCTCTCCTGCGGGTCCAGCAGGGTCCGGCTCTGGCGTCTTCACCTGGCGGTGCTCCCAGGTTTTTCTGGGCACGGTTGAGTCGTGTCAAGTTCGTGCCACCGTTCGCCAGGTGAGTTTCTGCGGTCTGGCGTCTTTTGGCCGGGCGCTGGATGCGGAATTGTTTATATACCTGTCTTTCTTTAGGTATATTTTTGTACGACTGAGACCGTTCGCACACCAGTGACTGTCCCTTTTTCAACCCTTCCTGTCCCCCTCATGTGCATGTCCAACCCATGCTGGAGTCATTCAGGGGGCCCACCTTTTTCTTTAATGTTGTGAGGTGTGGGGATTGTAGGGTTGGTTCTGTACTCACCTGGTAAGGCTCCTGGCTATGCTTGCAGGGTTTGAGCTCTGGCTCTTGGGTCCCGCCTATCTGGTAGAACTTGCGGGATAGTACCAGTGGAGTGCAGTGGTGCTATTGGCACGTTTGGGGAACACTGTATTACCATCAGAGGTCTGTGCTTGTTACACGACCTACTTGCGAGCATAAGCTTTCTTGCTGGTTCGTCCGTGGACTTCCAGGGCACACTAGCCTGTTTTCGTATAGCAGTTCCGGCCCACCCTGGTTGTGGGGGTATGTGGGCCGGTGGACTGCTCCTAGCAGCTGCCTGGTGGGCCACCCTCTGGCCGGTCTAGCCTAGCCTTGGGCCGGGCTTGAGGTGTAAAAGAGCTCCCAGTACCTCCTCCAGCAGGTATCGTGCGGGGTTTCTCCACCGTCCGTCGCCTGGTGCAGGTTTCTGGGCCTGCGGGGTTTTGTCGTGTCTCCGTTGGCCCTGTCTGGGGTCTGCCTGCTCCGTTCTCTGCCTTTGCAGAAGGGAGTTGCTATTTACATGTTGCATGTTGCAGTGGTGCCTGTTGCTGCTGCTGCTGCACGTGTGCGTTGGTACCGTGTTTCACGGTGGCGTGTCCTTGTTCCTGTGTCCGGTTGTGGAGTGGCACTTTGCTGCTGTTTTGTGCCTGGAGATTGCGTGGGGGTTTTTCTGTCCCTGCCTGTTTGTCCACCCCTGGTTGTTTTCCTGGGGTTTTTGTGCTTCTGCTCTTTCTTCCTGCCTGCTCTGCAGCAGGGGTGTTCTGCGCGTGTTCTTAGGCGTTTGTCAGCCTGTGTCCTGTGATGTGCTTCCTTGTCTCGGTCTATTGCAGTTGTTCGTACTGCTTGGTTCGGGTACTGTTCTGGCGGCGACCCTTCAGCCTTCTTTGGTTTCCTAGCGTGCCCTGCGTTTTTTTTTTTTTTTTTTTTTTTTTTTTTTTTTTTTTTTTTTTTTTTTTTTTTTTTTTTTTGGGGGGGGGGGTCTTGTTATGTCTCGCGTCGGACCTGTCGTTTCTGAACTCCTGGCGGGCTTGCATGCTTTGGGGAGTATTTCTGTTCGGCAGACGTTTCATCTCCTTGTGCCGCCTGGGTTTGTGGTCGCGCCCGAGATCTTCCCGCGGCTCCGCCTTTTCCTGGGCTCGGAGGGGCCTTGTCGGGGCTGCTTATGTTCTGCCTCGCGGTCTCGCTCCCGGTTGGTGGTCGGGTGGCTTCGTGGTAGGTGTCCCACCTGCATGCTTCTCTTGGTGGCAGTATGGGGGTATTTTGGCGGTCCTTCCTTTTCCTGTCCCTTCTTAGGTGGTTACTGTTGTTAGCTTGGTTTACTCTCAGCTTGGTTTTCTGGTGGGGGTTGGGGGCCGTCGTCTTGCCACATACCGTTGCCTCTTTTCGTGCGGCGCTGGCGGAGCCGCTTCAGCTTGCTTTCGGTCTTGGTGTTGCTTCTGCACCGTTAGTAAGCTCTCTTGTGCGTCGTTTCACCTCCGGCCTGTTCGTGCGCCGCTTGCACCATCCTGGTCTCTGGTCAGCGTGCTCTGTCTTCTCCTCGGTTGGTAGTGCCCCTTCGGTTCTGGTGTGTTTTTTCGTCGCCTCTTTCCTTTTGGGCCTTTGCCTCTGGGGGTCGAGTCGCTGAGTTTTCTTGCTCCTTTGGTTTTAGCGTTTTGGTTGTTCGGTGGCAGCAGTCTCCATCTTTTCTGGCGCGGGGTGGGGCTGCTGCGTTCTGGAGGGGTCCAGGGTTTGTTGGTGCTTCGTTGGTCGGGCCGGGGGTGTATCGTTTTTTGTGTTCAGTGGCGGCCCTCCGCTGTTGTTTGCGTGCCACGGCGTTTGGGTTCGGAGCGCGTTTTGCGTTGATCCGGTTCTGTTCTTCCCGGTTCGCGGGTGATGGTGTCCCGGGTGGTCAGCCGTGTTCTTGTGGCTAAGCTGCCTGTGTTCTTCCCTCATGCCTGTGGCGTTCGTGGCTTCGCTGCTCTCGCTGCCTTCTGGGCGACGTGGCCTTGCGGTCTTTCGGGCATGGATTTTTGGTGTTCGTGCAGGGGCCTTGCTGCTCGTTGTTCTCGTGTTGTTCCCGGGACTTTTCGAGGCTGTGGCGCCTTGGGTTGGCGTTTGCTACCAGTTGTCTCGCCTCCGTGGGGGGTGCGTGGTGTCCGCCTCCCGGTTCTGTCCCTTTGACCTTCCTCTGTGGGTAGTTAGCTCCGGGGAGCTGACGGGGCTCCCCCCAGAAAACCAGCGTTGAATGTAATGAAACGCCATTTTCTGGGTGAGACCCGGAGGCTCCCCGGCAACCCTCCCTCCCTCCGGTCGGCGGTTTTTCGCGTGTTTTGACATCCAGCCTCAGAACTGATGGGTGGATAGCCGGCGTGGGAGGTCTGGGGCTCCCCCTTCCCCCTCCCGGGGAGGGGGGAGCTGCGCAGACAGCGGCGCGGTGACGTATGACGTCATACTAGTTTCCTTGTTTTTTGTTGAAGAGTTCTATCCACTAGTTCGGCTTTAGGTAGCAATTTTCACCAGAATAGGGGTTTGTTTTGGAATGCTTACCTTTCTGGATGCTTGACCTGGTTGATGGCAGACATAGAATGCTTCCAACCACACGGGGGTTTCTATAGGCCATTGCTCCCCTTGCCTCTCTGAGGGGGCCAGGTTCTGGCCGTGGTCCCCGGTAGGCCCTAGAACTCCATACACATGACTGATGCCAAAGTCTGACATTAGCATATCAGCCGGTAAAGCTCCGGGGAGCCTCCGGGGCTCACCCAGAAAATGGCGTTTCATTACATTCAACGCTGGTTTTTTGTCCTGACAGGCCCTCATCAAGATGAGCGATTTAACTTTAGTGGAAGATTGGGACCATCACGCTGGGACAACCCAGGCTCTGGGAACCAAAACATTGTCTTAACTGGAAAAGGTAATTCTGTGACTTTGTGCTGAAGCAGGGATGGGTACTGTAATATGCCTGCATGCATATTAATAATAATGGGGTTTATCTCCATTAACCAGACATGCTCTTGTTAACAGTGATGGAGAACAGGAAATTTCTGTCTGGATGATCCAAGACGCCAGGAAGTGGGAATGTGGGTAATGAGAGTTGTGATGTACATTGACCCCACAGGCTACTCCTTATCCTGTACTATTACTCTTCCTGTTGCTACTTCACCTGTACCAATTAAATATGAAACTGGCACCCGTTCACTGGTGGTGACAGACTGACCCAGGGAGCGAAGTCAATTGGTACCCGTCAGGATGCTTTAACATCTACAGTGTACACTGGAACATGCAGCTAGGTAGTGTGCGAGATAAAGAGAACAGACAAATTGATCTTACATATTGAATGTTGTAACACTACACAATTGCAAAATTAGATAACAAGTACAAGAGCTTGGCATTCATGCAAAATATAGCACACTGGCAACAGTGGGGTAGCTCCATTCCAAGCATACAGACAAACAACAGCAAACTAGGCAAATTGGGCATAAACAAACTAACTTGTGTTAGTTTGCAACAAAAACTTAAAAGAATAAAGAAACGGGGATTAAATGTTATATATACGTAAGAATAGATTTCGCCTGGCTTATACACAGGTGAACAACACCATGGGCCTGAAAATACCACCAATTACCTCAGATATGCAACAAAGATTTGCCAACTTGGAAAATACAGTATTAAAACAACTTTTAGATGTTATAACTTGTGACTGAAAGATTTAATTCATTGGAAGCCTACCAGCTATTCAGAAAGAGTGGGGAAACTAATAATAATGGAACAGGAGCTGAGGCTATAGACAGGAAAGACACTGAAATAGAGATTCGGGAAGATATAAATTCTGTAGGCGATGAGTCACAATAACGTGGCTAAAGTATGATGACCACACCACACACTATAAGGTGAAGGGACGACGACGTTTCGATCCATCCTGGACCATTCTCAAGTCGATTCAGAATCGACTTGAGAATGGTCCAGGACGGACCGAAACGTCGTCATCCCTTCACCTTCTAGTGTGTGGTTTGGTCATCATATAAATTCTGATTCAGTATGCCCGGATAACGATGACAGTAGATTAGAAAGTGTAACAGACAGCACAGACAGTTCAATAAGTACAGACACTACAACAGTCCTAGATAGAAACAGACCAGAAGGACAGATATTTACAAATTCTAGGCAAAGGGCATTTCCAGACATAAATATTCTGGAAAAAGAAAGGGATTAGAATACAGCTTCCATCATCCCAGAAAATGTCTAAATATACTTGGGAAACGAAAATGTCGATTTGGATAAACATGTCGGTTTTTCCATCCTGACATGTGCAAAACATCACTTGAGGGCAGAAAATGCTATGATCTCAGTTGCCCATACAGTACTTTATTGTGAAAGATGTGAAACGCTATACAAAGAGTGACAAACAAGGAAATGGCTTTGGAGGAAAGTCGAATCATTTTTATAACCGGACGAAAAAGGTTTCAAAAAGGTGAAGAGAGAATGTATGGAACAGAGCAACAGCAACACAGAGCTACAATTTTGACAGACAACAACACTACAACAATCAATATAGGTATGTCCGTGCATAATGGACCTGCCAGAAAAGTCTCCCAGTCAAACTACCCCAATTTGAGTAACCTCATTCATCTTGCCAACATACAAGGACTAAAAACAAGAGCAAAAAACAAATTATCATTCATAAAGGGCCTCCACACGGAGTCAAATGCAGTATTTGGAGCTTTCACAAAAATCCATGCAGGGGAATTCTTGGACAGTGAGGTCTGGATACCAGGATATAATCTATACTGATGTGATAGGGTAAATAGGTCACATGGAGGAGTGGGTCTGTATATTAGAGAAGACCTTGTATGCTCGGACCTCTTGACTATATAAATGAAGTGGTAGAAGTGCTAGGAGTAAAAATAAGAGTAAATAAACTTAGTTATTATTCTAATATTCAAACTGCCAGATGCAACGACCGAGGAATTTTCAGAACAGATAAACAAAATAGAGAACAGCCTCGATAATTTGACAAACCCAATATCTGATATTATCTTCCTACATGACTTCATCCTGCCTAGTCTAAGACGGAGAATAGCAAACAATAATATTATACCGGGAAATCTACCTGGACATAACCAACCACAGATTAGAGAACTACTTGGATTCTGGGACAAATTTTCACTCAACCAGCAGATAAGAGACAACTAGGAATGAAAATATTCTAGATCTGGTCTTCACACACAATGAAGACATAATCAGGGACATTACGATCTCGGATACCACATACAGTACTCGGATCACAAGCTCATTGAAGTGCAAACTACCGTCAGTACTCATAATAGACTTAAAACAATGATCATGTGAGAGAGGCTATTTAACGAATTCAATTTTAATAATTAAAGGATTGGCTGGAAAAAAAATAAACAGGGAAGTTACAAAACTTTCAGTGCAGCACTGTTCTAAGTAATAAAACTCCCATACCAGGAATAGAACAATGACTTCTGAAGCATATAAAGTCTGAAACATGTTCCTTTGCAGAAATCCAGAAAGAGGTCCAATGTAGAACTCATACGATACTACAAAAGTAAAAAAATAATAGAAATGCTTAAGCAGACACAACTTTCCCTATCTAGAAGGAATAATTTAAACACGGAAATTGAAGATATCAAGCCGAGACTAAAGCATTCATATTAGATTGAAGAAATGGAACTAGAACAGAAAGCAATACAAGAGATAAAGAAAAACAAAATATTTCTTGACATGAGAAATCAAAAGCAAAAACCACTGCCAGTATTCGACCTATTCATACGAGTTAAGGTTCATATATGGAGGATGACAAAGAAATTAGTGAAATCCTAAAAAAAAAAAAGCAATATGAGGACATGTTTATCACCCCAATAAACGGCATGAAAGTGAAAGATCCTGACAACTTCTTTGAGTTCCAAACCCCTAAAAATATAACTGATATCAACCTGAGTGTGGCAGACTTTGAAAGAGAAATTGACAACATGCCCATGAACTCAGCCCCGGGTCCAGTCTCATGGAATTTAATATTTATAATGAAATGCAAAGTGCTAGTAGCAGACACATTGTATAGTGTGTGGAGGAAGAGCTTGGACACGGGGGAGATACCAGATGCGCTTAAATCAGCAGACATAGCCCCTCTACACAAGGGAGGGAGCAAAGCATTGGCTAAGAATTATAGACCAATTGCACTAACATCCCACATAAAAGTATTTGAGAGAGTGATCAGGAGTCAGGTCACCAGTTTCATGGAGACCAATTACCTTCAAAGTAAGGCCAACATAGATTTAGAGCGGGAAGATCATGCTTCTCACAGCTACTTGACCACTACGACAAAATCACTGAGGTATTAGAAGAAGAAAAAATGCAGATGTGGTATACACTGACTTCACAGAGGTATTCGATAAATGTGACCATGGAGTGATAGCACACAAAATAAGGTCAATGGGAATAACAGATAAAGTAGGATAATGGATATTCAATTTTCTGTCAAACATCACACATAAGTAACAGTCAACCAAATGAAATAGTCCAAGCGCAGTTAACAGCTCTGTACCTTAATCTCATATCAGATACAGGGGTACAGTATAAACAAAAATACAAGTCACAGCATCGTATCATCCTTTGCAGATGATGCAAAAATCAGCATGAAAATTACCTCTGCTGAAGACATTGAAAAACATTAAGCAGATATTAATAAGGATTTCAACATCACGCTATTGTGATTTCTGTGTGTAATGATGTAAGGGCGAAGAGGGAGAACGGCCTATTGACATAGCTCGGGTGCAGGGGGGAGTTGTGTAAAATCCTGGTTTGTTCCTCGGAGAGGCTACGGGATCCAGTAAGTTCAGTAGAACTTCGGTTTCAACTTACCCTATCATAGCTCAGTCGATTAAGGCAGTGTCTGGGATGCTCCCGGACACAGGTTCGAATCCTCGTCACGGCCCTTGTGGATATGTTCATTTGATGTATCACATTAGTGTGATCTCTGTGTGTAATGACGTAAGGGCGACGAGGAAGAATGGCCTATTGACATAGCTCGGGTGCAGGGGGGGGGGGAGTAAAAATCAGAGGTCCACGGTTGTTCAACACCCTCCCAGCGAGCATAAGAAATATCTCCAGAACAAATGTGGACATCAAGAGAAAACTAGATACAGGTAGTTTTCTTCAAGAAGTGCCGGACCAACTGGGCTGTGGTGATACGTGGGCCTGCGGGCCGCTCCTAGCAACAGCCTGTTGGACGACTCAGGGCGAGGCATGACTCTTGCAAGTCATGCCTCGCCCTGAGCCGGTCTTGGAGTAGAAGAACTCCCAGGTGTCTATTTCACCCTCTGCTGTTTGTCATGTGATATGCTCGGATTTATTTTATGACCAAAGCACCTCTAGTTTGTATATGTGAGCATAGTGCTGAGCTTTATTATTGCTGATGTCAAGGGGATGTGTGTGTGTGTATCTGGAGACAGTTATTTTGGTGGATTGGCCAATTGCAAAGGATTCAAAGCCAATATTTTAGTGAAGTCATTCCACCATCATATAAACAATGCAACGCTAGACTAAGATAAAGGAACCACACAGTATAGTGTCACGGTAACATGCATAGTTGACTACTGTACTACAAAATAAATCTGTATTGGTAAATATGCCTCCTTATGTGCTCCCATTTAATGCTACAGAAACAATAATCTGGTAAGAATCCACATAACTGACAGTTTCCATAGTCAGATGTCCTAAAAAAATGTTTACCAATTGTTATATGTACTGTATTTATAGAATTGCAAAAAGTGTGCCATGGAAGAAGCAACTGTGCTTTTATATATTGTTAGAATTGCTAATTGTAAATGTTTGAGTGAGGAGAGATGCTACATATTTAATTACATTGTACTGTAAACTCCTAGCTTGTTCCAT